CTTAGTGGTTCTTCTCAAAGAAAAAAGAGCTGACAAGGACTCTCTGCATTTCTCTGCACTCGAACAGGTTAAGGGACCATTAAGAAGTGTGATAATTTTCAATTGTACTAAGATACTTAAATAACAACAAAACCTTAAGAGGAGTAATTTTGTTGAATTACCAGAAATTTCTCTATTATTTAAAATAATATTTAAGTTTAAAAAAACAAAGTTAAAATTGTGTGTGTAATCATCTGTTATGAAAAGTACTTTAAATAAAATCTCATATTATTAACTTATAATAAAAAGATACGCTTAATTCTGAGGATAGAGATGGGTTTCCAGAAAAATTATAAATACCAATAACGAGTAAAATTTTAAGTCTGACCCCAGTCGAGATCTGACACATTCCCAAACCTATCTCTCCACCCGTTGACCTTTAAGCATAAAAATTTAATAACATTAATGCCCTATATATAGAAATAATCCTGCCAATTTTCAAAGTTTTTGGTTCATCCAGTCCTGAGATTTAATGCAAAATAGATGCCGACATAAATACAAATACAGACACAGAATTTTGTCTTACATTTTGAGTTCCTTAAGTGTTAAAACGTCGAGAAGTGAAAAAAACTGGGGTCAAAACTTGACCGATTACCATACTTTTCTATTATATTCTCTAAAATTCTATATATTACTAATGCTGGGGAAGTAATATCCAATATCCTGTTAAAGTTTAAGAACAGAAATAAGGATAATTCAGTAGTTTTACCTGTATGTTGTTATTTTAATAAACGTTCTTAAATATTCGTGATAAGATAATGGATATTTATGAGATATAATTATTAACAAATAAAGTTTAACGAAGAAATGTGGTTTTATTTACAAACATTTAAATTATAGTAGTTGTAAAAGCGATATGACTAAATATATTTAATATTTCTGATAGATTTATTAATATAACAGCGTGAAGTTGGTACACACAAGACGAAAATGACGGATGTTTAAAACAAAGTTAATTTAATAAAGCATGAAAAACTAATTTTATACCTTCGTGTCTGTTCATCTTTTAGGTACTGTTCAGTATGAGACCTCACTGATTCTTGCTCATCTGCGCTGAAGTTCTTGAGAATTACACCCTTAATTCTTTCTTAGAACAGACTTCATATTAACACTAACTTGTTAATTCTACTAGTATTTTATTACAGTATTGTTTGGGAATTTTTTCCCATTCTGTTCTAATTTATTCTCGTTACTCGTTTACACAAAATGTGTAAAAATTTGTCTATCCAAGAATAGCCGCAAAAAGAATGCCACAAAATTTACATATACCTATCTAGTATAACGTTATACATTTATATATAGCTTTGCTAATATTTTAATACTATATACAAAATCAAGTTTATTATTTTATATAAATTGCAGCAGATTACATAAACAGTTACTATATATAACATATATATTAAATCAGATTTTAATCATTTTTTTTAAAATTACTTTTTAATATTATTCAACAGTATAAAAAATTTTATAAATTTTTCTCTAGAACTGAGAGATTAACACTGAAATTATGTTAAAAATTACCAAAAACTTCATTATATACAGAAAAAAAAATTTGTATAGAGAGTGAGGATATTTTGGAATGACTAAAAATATTTTTTTAATTATATATGAAAAATTAATATATTAATATATTAGTTTCTAAATAATAATTCCGGTTAGATATTGCAATTCTAATTTTCTATATTTATCAAACAATCAATAATAATGTAAAAGTGATGTTAGAACTTATGCTTTAAACTGAATTAGAATAACATAGAAACACAGACTTTAAAGTTTGAAATATTTTCACATTTTACAAAAATTTTATAAAAATAAATTAGATTTTTCATTCATAAAAAAATTCATATTTCTTAATTATTTTTAATGAAATATTTAGAATATCAAATTAATTGAAAGAAGAATAATGCAACTACATTAGTTCTAAAGAATATTAAAATGTTTATAGATAGTTTATACAGTAGATTTAAAAAATATATTTTTATAAATACTTAAAAGTATCAGTAAATATTACATAAATGATTAACTAAATAGATTTGCATTAACGTTTGGCATTAACGTTTTTCTTAGAAAAGTTGATAGACAAATTGAGTTACGCATGAAATTAAAGGGGGGGAAAAAAGAAAAGAATGCAACTAGAAATAGTTGTTTCAGGAACTATTAAAATAATAATGAGAAACGTTCTTCGTGAAACTTATAATAATTATTATTTATAATTTAAAATTTTATTACAAGAAAAATTTTGAGTACGTTAGAAAGAAGCAATTTATTCGTTTGCAATAAAATGAAAATTAAATGAAATTAAAAATTAAACCAGGTTCAATCGGGCATTAATACAGTGGGTCTGTATGCATTTTTAATTAAAATAGCAAATCATTTCTTGTTCGTAAGTCGTTTGAATTATCAGAAACATGTATATACAGTATATAAAAGGTCCGTCGAGAGAGGAGCTGGGGATTTTTCTCTGAGCCCGGAGATAACAGCGGTACGTAGTAGTTCCTATCCGTTTAAAATAATGTTTCTATATTGTTTCCTATATTATTATTTTTAGTAGTAAAAATAATAAAATAAAGTAAAATGGAAAAAGGGACTCGCTCCAACAACATTTCCCATGTTCATGAGTATGTACCGGTATGTATATGTATATATAGCCTATATATAATTTTATATATATAGCCTATATATAATTTTATATATATTATACAAGAAAATATAGTCTATAATTTTATTAAGTAAGATTTAAATAAGAATTTGATACAAATGAAAACACTGCTTATATAACTTACACAGGCAATGTTTTCATTTGTATCTAATTCTTATGTAAATATTACTTAATAAAATTATATATTTACTTGTATCTACTATTTANAAAAAATTCGAAAATAAAAACATTTTATTATAATTAAAAAGGGATAATAACGCGAAAAATATTGAAAATTTAATGATATTCTAAGAAAAATGTCCTATTTATTTTATGTTAAGCAATTATAATTAACCTAGCAGGATAGGAACTGGTTCTAAAAAACAGGTTAAAAAAAATTCGAGATTTAAATTGTTCTAAGAGCGAAATTTATTTTGTGCAATTAAAATGTCGCTAAAACTCATTGGAAAAATCTTTTTGCGTAGGCACATGGAAGAAGAGAAGAAAATTGTCTCCATTTAGTTAACGTCGTCTCGTTAAAATGTATATTTTAAAATAAAAGAAAAAAAAATTAAATAGGTTGAGGTTGTAAAGAAAGTTTCGCAACGGCTATCCAATTGTCTAGAGGTCAAGGACATCTCGTACAAATCTCGTATCCGGTCTTAAAACACGTGATCGGGAATAGTCTGTCGTCGCTCCTCCTGGTGTTCGATAACAGCTGAACAAACTATAAATAACCGGAACTTTAATATATATTTAACGCGGAATGACCTATTTTTCAATATTTGAAAAAAAGTTAACAAAGGCGTCGAGTGTCAACAAAAAAAAATAAAATAAAATTATTCGAATTCGATTCTTCTATTGTTTAATTTTATTTTTAAAAATATATTACANAATATTGTTGAATTGCTCGCAAACTACTATAGCCCCACCCAGTATAATGGCATATTTATTATGTATATTTTTTATCTTAATGTATTTATTTTTTAAAATTAATTATTTTAAGTAATAAATTCAATATTTTATTATTTTTTTATTGAAAAACTAACTGATTTTCAATACGTTACTTATCTCTTGTTAATTAACTCACTTAGAAGGTAAATTATTTTCTACAGATATTTATATTAGTTTAATTGTGTATTTTATGATCTTTTTCCTTTACAAACTGACAGTCCGATATTAAAAATAAAAACAAAAATGATACTTTTAACGCTTATTCGATTAACCTTGTTATTTCAACCATGTCATGGAGAGAATTTAACAATCATTAAGCTTACAGTTAACACATTAATGTTTCTTTTTTTTCTTTTTTTTTAGTCTGAATGTATAACTACAATTATTACAAGATGCCTTTCGGAGAAAATATTTAAATTTTTTTTACAAGAAAAAATTCGAAAATTTTTTTTAAGTGCATGTTATCAGCTGGCTGGGTGTATCTAAAAAATAAACACGTGACCTTTGTCCTAGAAAAGATCTTATAATAATGGTCACCGTGACTTCGAAGACAGCTAAAACTACCTAACGAATGTATGACGTATTTCTTGTATGACCCTTCAGTGTCAATTCATTGTATTCATGCCAAGCTAAATTACATGCTGGCAGATAATATTAAAACAAATCTTTAAGATATAAAACGTTTCATTCGATAAATTTATCAAAATAGACAAATAACACATTATATTCGTGCTTCGATTTAATAGAAAAGAATAAAATTTTAGATAATGAAAAAAATCATTCGACCGTATCAAATTAAAGTAAATAACAGCATTTCTGATAATACAAATCGATTATCATTACGAAAAATTCTTATAATAGATTCTATATTCAGCGATTCAATTAAAATGTCGGCAAAATATAACAAAAAATTGATCTATCCCGTCTTGAATACCTAAAAAATTATTTAAAAACTTTAAAGAATTACATATATTATTAAGAAAAATTGAAACGGGAAACAAGAAAATATTATAATTTTAAATATATATATATTTTTTATTATCACCGAAAATAATCAACGGTTTTAACATTAATAGCCTAATTTAATTTCTTAAGTCCTTGTTTTTTGTGACTTAAAACAATTTGTAAATAAAATATAAACAACGTTTACTATTCATTGCCAATTTCAAAATGTCAGTTCTTTCCAGGAATACTTTAAATATTCTCACTGATACCGNTTTTCCCTCCCATTTTCTTGCAGTTAAGTTTTTACAACGGAAAGAATTTTCTATATTATAGTTTTTATATCATTGTAAAGAACTTTTATTTTTATTCAAAGGTAACGATGTCGATTAAAATATATTATTCACAATTTAATTCAAACAAAATATATATAATAAGTATAGAAATTTATAGTTTATTCGTCCAACCTCAGATAAAAGATACAGTTAATATCTTTTTTGTAAATAGAACTATCAATAGGAATCATGAAAATCAAATATTTGAGAAAGTGAAACAAAGTCAAACGTAATAAAAATTTGCTTGTACATTTAATTAATAGATATTTCTTATTTATATATTGAAAAAATTTTATTTTTCGGCCACGATATCTTTTCTTCTCTAAACAATTAACTTTCATTATAATACAGTACTAACAAGTAAGAACCAAGATGTATTTAAATTTAATTCCAAAGTCTTCTCTCGCTAAATGTAAATTAAAGTTTATAATATTATTTCTAAAATCATTTAAACTTCAATGAAAGTCATTTATAATATTTATTTTTCCCGAAGCATTCTTTTAATTTATTCTTCCGTGATAAAAAGCCAATTTTAAGCAAATGCAAGATTAATTTGTGTTGGTCGAAGGTATTTACAATAATACTCTTATGTTAATATAAGTTACTTATAAAATAATATTAAAAGTTAGATTTTTTTTAATAAAAAAAAAACTAATTGCATTTAAAATACATTATTTATTTATTTATTTAAAGCTTTGAACTCGATAATCTATGAAATTTAATATATTTTTTCATTTTGTTTTTCAAACTAAGAATAACAACATAAACGAGGATCTCGCTTATCTATGTTTTTAGTTTAAACATTTTATATTTAAAGCTAGAGGAAGAAAGAATACTGAGAAGTCAAAGATTTAACTTTTTGATTTATTTTATTTTGATTTATTATATTTTACAAAAAAGAAAAGTTTCTTTACCAGCCATATGCATATTTATTAGCACAGATAGGTCATGTAAGGTCATATGGTTTTTAAGTAAGTTGCGTCAGCTATCTTTTTTAAAATTTATTAAAAGTTTCAAAAATAATAATAATAATTTCTGTTTAATTTTTATAAAAACTGTCTTTCCTTTTCTTAATATAAGCTATTAAAAAAAATCTGAGCTACTAGTTGAGGAAACTGGTAATAATTTTATATAGTATAATGTTTAAAGTAAAAAATTATATTAAATGTAATCACTAAATAATAATTTTTACTATTATTATAGCTTATTGTCTTGCTGATAAGCTTCGTTATTTTTGTTACTTATCTTAGTACGAGCCAAAATTAAGAGTAAGAAATGCAATTAATGACATTTACATTTGGTATAATGGGTAAACGCTTCATGGCACGAGGTGGAGACATAAAGACTTAATTGAATGTTATTTATAAATTTGGAATGTTGCGCCGTTATTGACGTCATCATCAAAATTTTGACCACCCTTGGTAATTACTGAGAAATTAAAAGATGACTAGAAGTAAAATGTTAAATATTATAAATTCACAATAATGCTTTATTGTATAAGAAAATATCAATTATTTAGGTAAATTAGAACCAATTTTACACGAATTAAAAATATATATAAACTTATATTTTTTTAATATTAATTAACAATCCTTTCATATATTTTTTAATATATAACTGATAAAAATATTAATAATTGGACTGCAATTTTCAAATTGAAGGCCTATAAATTGAATGTCTATTCGTCCGTCCGTCTTTAATCTCGAGAATGCAGTAAAATAGATGAAAATCGAGACCATATATGAAAAGTTTAGGGGCCAGAGGCCTCGATTAACTATTTATAAGAACTTCCGGTCGGGACCGGAAGTCACGTGATTTTTTTAATTAAAATATGATTAAAAATTGCAGCCTGGCCTTGTAACAATGTCACAATAAGTAATTGTTATATTTTTGAATAGTAATAATTGGTGACAAAATATTTAAAATGTGATTTAAAATATTATTTTTGCCATCATATTTATTTATATTTTTATAATCACTTTATAAAAATCTAAAGAATGATATTATACATGTGTGTTGTAAATTAATCTTATTCAGTAATGTGAGAAACTTGTAGTTTAAAGAGTTGAGTCTCACTTTTTTTTATAGGGTATCTTCTTCATGATAAATTGTTTTTCTTCCGGAAAAAAACTGTGCTGTATCGAAATTGTACGAGATTGACATCGTTAATTCATGCTAAATATCAAAATTTCGCAACGATTTGTACTCAATGTTAAGAAAGAATTTTACAGTCTGCTTAAAATTCATAATGACCCATTCATGTTAAAAGGTAACGGATTTAATATAGCAAGTAAGTGGTTTTATTAAAAATATGCTAATATAACTAAATTAAAGAAATTTAAAATTTGCTAACTCGCTTCGAGAAAATGAATTTTTTTAAATTTATTTTCTCGAAACGGTTCTATAAATAATTGAAGTTATATAAAATTTAATCAAAAAATCTCCAAAAAAAAGAAAAAAATTTTTATCAAAACAATTATTATTATTTGTTCCATTGTTTAATTTTATATTTTTTTCCCTCCCATTTTCTTGCAGTTAAGTTTTTACAACGGAAAGAATTTTCTATATTATAGTTTTTATATCATTGTAAAGAACTTTTATTTTTATTCAAAGGTAACGATGTCGATTAAAATATATTATTCACAATTTAATTCAAACAAAATATATATAATAAGTATAGAAATTTATAGTTTATTCGTCCAACCTCAGATAAAAGATACAGTTAATATCTTTTTTGTAAATAGAACTATCAATAGGAATCATGAAAATCAAATATTTGAGAAAGTGAAACAAAGTCAAACGTAATAAAAATTTGCTTGTACATTTAATTAATAGATATTTCTTATTTATATATTGAAAAAATTTTATTTTTCGGCCACGATATCTTTTCTTCTCTAAACAATTAACTTTCATTATAATACAGTACTAACAAGTAAGAACCAAGATGTATTTAAATTTAATTCCAAAGTCTTCTCTCGCTAAATGTAAATTAAAGTTTATAATATTATTTCTAAAATCATTTAAACTTCAATGAAAGTCATTTATAATATTTATTTTTCCCGAAGCATTCTTTTAATTTATTCTTCCGTGATAAAAAGCCAATTTTAAGCAAATGCAAGATTAATTTGTGTTGGTCGAAGGTATTTACAATAATACTCTTATGTTAATATAAGTTACTTATAAAATAATATTAAAAGTTAGATTTTTTTTAATAAAAAATTTTATATCAATCCATAATTTACATTAAAAAGTTCTTCAAATAAAATGCACATTTGGAGCTCTTTTCTGCATCTAATTTTTTTTAAAATATCAGTTCTTGTTTTTTAAGTACTGATATTAAATTTAAAATTTTTATAAAAATAAATAAACAAACATAATTAAATATTTATAAAATAAATAAATAAATTATTTTTGTTGTTATTGTACTAAAAATTATCAAAAGCAAACTTTAAAGTCCCATTTTCAAATATATTTTTGTTTAATTTTGTTAATTATCAATATAATAATGAAATTTATAACATTAAGAATTAAAAATTAATTAGTAAACTGTATAAAAAATTTAATATTTTTGCTTAATATATAATTTTTTCCCATATTTTCTCGTTTAACGTTTTAAATACGAGTTTACTGTACTGTACTTATGTTGAAGAATATTTCATCATGAAAATTTTTTCTTTTATCTATTAATTGTCAAGCATCATTGGTTATAAGAAATGTAATTTTAACAATTGAAAATAAATCGCTTTTATATCTTATAAACTAAAATTAAGTTTAATACATTTTGTTTTCTCTGAAATTTTAAAAATAAAAAATCTGTATAACATCTATATATTTTTTTTCCTCAATGGATAACCTCAAATTTCTTTCAACCATAACAACTATAAAATTTAGATCAGTCTATATATATAATTTTTTTATGTTTTATTTTTATATAACTTTACTATGCTTCCATTTTTCTTAAAATTTTTAATAATTTTTTTATTTAAATTAGAATTTTTCTATATTTATATTTCATTATAAGTTAAGTTTATCTTATAAACTTAAACTATGTAAAATATTTCAAAATAATCCAATATGATTCTAAATATTCTAAATAATTTTTTTTTAATTTTACAAATCTATAAAATTGTAAATATAAAGCTATAAATATTTATATATGTTATAAAATATTTATAAATTATAGTTTTTCTGATATATTGCTTTATCCTGAAGCAATTGTTATTATTTTTTAAATTTATTAATATACATTTGAAGCGTCAAATTATTAAAAAGTTGCGAATGAATTCAAAATTTATTGTATAAATTATATATGCATATCCTCAAAAAATATGAAATATATGAATGCGCCAAGTACAGTACGTATTTTATTCTAATGTAAATAATTAATTGTATGAGGTCAACCCGATATATTAATCAAATTACTTCGTCAATCAAAGTTGAAATAATACTTGTTGAATAAAGTAAACGAGTTAGCACAGCATAGAGATATATATTAAGAAATATCTAAATAAATCTACGTACTTTTATATGCTGGTGCCAAGTAATTTACGGTGTTTCTATTACTACAAAGTTTAACACTTGACTTCTCTTGTTGCTAATTAATTAATTACACAAGATAATGATGTGTATTTAGCGTTTTCAATTACATCTCGAAAATATTGTGGATAGAACCGAATTTTTTGTTTTAGGAAAGTAATGATATTAAAAGTAAATAATTATAGATATTATCTTTATAATATGTTCATTTATCTAAAAGTTCCTAAGTTTTATTATGTTTGAATGTAGGGTGAGGTATAGCTTGGTTTATAACAATCCTAGACATATTTCGTCATTTTCAGGGTTCATTTGAGTGTCAATTAATTACATACGTAATAATCTTAATTTATGGATCATAGCACTTTAGAGAAATATTAATCAGTAAACAGTCTTATAGGTATATTTAATTCTTTCGTTGTTACAATCGTAAATTTAGCAGAGAATATACGATTTTTTAATAACATTTTGAAGGATTAAAATTAGTATTAGAAAGAAGAAAACGAGAAATTACTTGTAAAATGAACATGTTAATTTGGTTATTTGAAATAAAAGAAATCATTCTTTAAACTAATTATCGCATAGGCCTACTCTCTGGAAATACGTAAAATTGTGTAACCAGAAAAAATACGATAGTTATACGAAAAAAGTCCCTGTTGTATATCCTACACTCTTCATTACAACTTTAATCCCCAACAGTTATTAATATTTATTGCTTTTAATTAGATATTGATAATGACTCTGAGAGTAGGTAGAGTAAATAAACAATATTTCATAATTTTTTCACTCGATTGTATCCGTTTCACACTTCCGATTGAATACTGATTGGTTATCAAAACATAACATAATAATCAGAGTACTTCTTCGTATTTTGATTGTCGAAGCTACTAGTCAGAATTTCTTTAAAAGTCGCAAGAATATTTTTTAGATAATTATGTCTATTTAGAAAGACAAAAGTAAAATTTTCATTTGTTCTATTCTTTTCAATGTTGTACAGGAGAGACATGTATGTCTGGTCACTTTAGCTCATTCTATAATTATGTAGCTATCCATCGTAAATGCCAGCGTGAATTAAGACCTTCCGGGGTATCTAGGCACAGAAGATTGGGTCCCCTCAACGTAATTTTACGACATGATAAACTAATAACGTCTAATTGTAGCTATAGAATTATTTACAAATTATGATAAACAATTACAATGATAAAATTGCTTTATTTTTTTCAATTTCAGAACCCGAAGCTCCTAGGCACGTGCTTCAAGTGTCTAATGGTTAATTTAGTATGGGTAAAGGCATATAAATATGAAACAAAAACATAAAACATAATAAATTCATTTGTAGAAAATAATTCAAATTATAAGAAGCATTCTGATCTTAAAAGAATTAAGTATAAGGAAACCTTTAAATATTTCTGTAATTAAAACTATTCTACTGTTTTTAGACTTAAAAAATTTCTAAAAATTATATTATTTTAGAAATATAAATCACAATTAGTTTTCAATCTGATATAAAAACCTTTAAACATAAAGAAAAATATCGATTGTAAGATACCGATTATCATATTCAGGTTAAAGATTATTTCTGAATATGATAATCGGTATCTGAACATTAGATTCCGGTATATGAACAAAATAAATCAAAGAAACTAAAATGCAAATCAGTGAAATTCATAAAAGAATCCGTTAAAGTATGAATTATTATCCATAAAAAACACAGAAATCCCATAAAAATTATAAATTAAAATCCTTACGGATCATATTAAAAATTATTTCAAGAATTTGAGAATACTGTACGAGAGAAAAGTCATATTTAAATGAATCAGAGGATTAATTCGGAGAATAAAAGGCCATTTATCAGACTGAATTTTGATACTTTTTAATTACAATATTTAAATATTATTTCATATATAATGTTGATTTTTTTATATTATTTATTAATTTTACATTAAAATGATTTTAATTGTTGTAGGCCTACTTTGAAAGTGAAGAGAACAAAATTTAGATTTTAACTCTGGNTCGGAGAAAATATTTAAATTTTTTTTACAAGAAAAAATTCGAAAATTTTTTTTAAGTGCATGTTATCAGCTGGCTGGGTGTATCTAAAAAATAAACACTTGACCTTTGTCCTAGAAAAGATCTTATAATAATGGTCACCGTGACTTCGAAGACAGCTAAAACTACCTAACGAATGTATGACGTATTTCTTGTATGACCCTTCAGTGTCAATTCATTGTATTCATGCCAAGCTAAATTACATGCTGGCAGATAATATTAAAACAAATCTTTAAGATATAAAACGTTTCATTCGATAAATTTATCAAAATAGACAAATAACACATTATATTCGTGCTTCGATTTAATAGAAAAGAATAAAATTTTAGATAATGAAAAAAATCATTCGACCGTATCAAATTAAAGTAAATAACAGCATTTCTGATAATACAAATCGATTATCATTACGAAAAATTCTTATAATAGATTCTATATTCAGCGATTCAATTAAAATGTCGGCAAAATATAACAAAAAATTGATCTATCCCGTCTTGAATACCTAAAAAATTATTTAAAAACTTTAAAGAATTACATATATTATTAAGAAAAATTGAAACGGGAAACAAGAAAATATTATAATTTTAAATATATATATATTTTTTATTATCACCGAAAATAATCAACGGTTTTAACATTAATAGCCTAATTTAATTTCTTAAGTCCTTGTTTTTTGTGACTTAAAACAATTTGTAAATAAAATATAAACAACGTTTACTATTCATTGCCAATTTCAAAATGTCAGTTCTTTCCAGGAATACTTTAAATATTCTCACTGATACCGGGTAACACTGCAGAGGAAACATTCACAATAGATTTCTATTTAGTTATTTTTTTTTTAAATAATAAAACCCAAAAATATTTTTAAAAAATTATTTTAGTATTTCAGCATTAAAAACTGATTTTAAAAGCAGTTTTTTAAAATATTTTTTTACATACAATTGTTAGTTATCATTCTATTTTTTTGGGGGGGAAATTTAACATAACAAGGTTAAAGTTTAAATCCTTCTTTTTTGGTGCTAGATTTAGAAAATTCGGGTCAAAAAATTCCAGGATGGCATCCATCATTTAGGTCAGACTCTTTCACAATATGATGTTTAGATCGAGTGTGATGTAGCTTAATAGTATCTGTACTTTGCTTCATTATACATGCACTAGTCGTTCTGTTTTTGTTTAATAACTTTATACATTTAAAAATAACACTTATATTGATATTCTAAAAATACAAAGTAGCTGATAACTATATATTAATTAATGATTTAATACTAATAATTTTAGTAATTTAATTAAAAGAAAAGAAATTGTATGTTACTTTTTAAAATTATTTTTCCTAGAGTATTAGTTTTAACAATTCTCTGATGAATATATTTAAAATTTTTCAATTTTTTAATGTAAAATTGATTCATGTTTTTTACTTTCAGAAGTAATTACAAAAGAAATTTAAACGTTAAAAAATCTTCACGATTATCAGCAATTATGCAGGCATGCTAATGATAATACTATCTTTAAAACTACTTGAATTACATTTAGAAACTGGTTTAATAGATCATAAACTGCAAATGGAAACATTAGAATAGGATTATATGATATTCAAAATGTGTCGGCAAATAGTTAAGTAAAACGATCTTAGATACAGTAAAGAAATGCATATTAGCTTGCAGATGTGGATATAAAAACATCTGTAATTCATCAAACTACTATTAAAATCTTCTCCATGTTGTAGCTTAGAATGAATCATTACAAATATTTTCACTTTAACATTTATCATAATATTTTCTTCAAGGAATGAATTCAAAATCAGGGACATTTCTTTCAACACATCCCTGACCTTCGTCGACTGACATCACGAACACAAAAAGTTCAAGTTGGCGTTAGTTCCGGCATCCTAACGAGTGATGTCTCCACCCTCTCAAGTTCACAGCAACTAGTAAAATTGCTAAGCATAGTAAATGTACTTACAGACATTTGTAACTATTGAATAGTTTATTTGGAATGCAATTACAAAAATCTTACCAGGTAGGAAAATCTTCGGCCTATTGCTACATGAAGTGGGCGGAATATCCTTGACATATATTTTATTTTTATTAAATGCTTTTATAAATAATGAATTAATTTAAATAAATAAACAAACTACTATAATTTAATAATTAAATGTATAATACAAGAGATTTAATTCGTGTTTTTGTAATTAACTGTTGGGTCAAAAAAGTGACGCTAAAACATTTAAAAATACTATAACCCAGTTTAGTTTATTTTTTATTTTTATTTTTTTTTTGGAATGCGTATCATCTTTCCATAGTCTACTCCGAGAACCAGATGCTACAAAAATTTCCCTCTGTCTATTAGTTATTTTTGGAATTTTCTTAGAAACAAAATTTCTATCATCATCAAAGGTAATGGTATATAATATATCAAAACTATTTAAAATTCAAATCACAGATTATGTATGTATTTTTTATTTTGTTTAGTATAATAAATAATCCACGATGTGTGTGTTTTTTTCCTTTGATATTTCGTCATCAAAAACAAATAACTTTAAAGTACATTTATATGTAAATATAATCAGTGACGTAAGAAGCGAGGGCTGATGGGGCAATTACCCCTCAAAATTTTCAAATTACAATTAATGTGTGGGTTGTATTCACCGCCATCAAGTCGTATATTTTCAGTGTAATAAAAATAAGAAAAGAAATCACTAGTTTGCAGGTCCCGTTTTATTTTTATTACTTGAAGTTTTTTTTTTATTCATATTTTTCAAAACTATAATGTAATGCATACATTGATTGATGTCTTATGTATCGATAGTGAAACGGTATATCATTAAATCCCATTATATAACTACAGTAACTAGTTTGTTTTTTAAATAGACTAAAAATAAAGCGTCTAATTATTTTGTTTCGGTATATCCATTAAATTAATGATTTTAATTAAAGAGAATAGATGAAAATATACACTAAAATTTCACAATGTTTTCCTCTCCAGTAAGACTAAAAGTAAAAATAAATCCGGTTTAGACAAAGCAAACTTTTTCAAAAGCTTATTTATAATGATTTAGAAGGTATATACTTTTAAATAAGCTTTAATTATAAATTATATATTACTCAGATTGTTAATAAGTAAATGAAGCAACAGAGCGTTTATATACGATAAGATTAATACTGATATGTAAAGTTATTAAGATATATTTTTGTAAAACCAAATGAATCTTGTAAATATTTTAGGATCATTTATAATAGTTGAATCAAAATTCGAAACTTCGAAAAGGTCTTAAATTCAAGCCTCAAAAGTCAATTTGTCTAGTATAAATTCAAACATGTAAAAACTGAAAAAAATCTATTGAATGCCTTTAATTATCGAAAACTTATTGAAAACTGGTGTATAAAGGATGTCATTTTATAAGGAATTTTATAACACTGTGAGGAAGACTTCGACTAAATCGTGATAAATGATAGTACTTTTCAGGTGCCTATAGATACTGTACTAAAATATTAGAATATTTGACTCGGTGGAAATTGAGTAAAAAAATAACAAGCGATTTTCTTTAACATTATGTCTACGGAGAATTTTTTATTTTCAGACGTTTATTTCACCTTCAAACCTACATAATAAAATGAAAATTGGTTTTAAAAAAAGACAATTAGTATCGGTAGCGTGCGCCTACAATAGATAAAGTGAATTCAATCTTGGAAATAATGAAAGTTTTTTGAGTTATAGGAAAAAAATTTAATCAACATAAATTGATTTTCACTAGAAATAGGCTATATTTTGTTGATATGTTGTAATGAAATTAAAACATTCATTCAAAGATCTTTATTATCAGACATTTCTTGAGCCTCGATATTAAAAATATCAATAAGAAAATTATTAAAAGTATTAGACTACAACTTTCCAAAAATTCTCAAAACAAAAAATAATTTCAAAACCATCTAGAATATTCTAGAACTTTTCAAAATTCCAAATATTCTACTTCCTTCTTGCAGGCATAAAATTCTCACCCAGCTCAAAAACATCTACTAATTGTCTTTATTTTATTAGCCAATTTTCATTTTATTATCTAGGTTGGAAGGGGTTCAAATAAATGTTCGAAAATAAAAAAAATTCGCTATAGACATAATGTTAGAGAAAATTACTTAAAAAAAATGCGATATCCACCGGATCAAAAATTTTAATATTTGAATACTACGAAATCCTCGTTAATTCGAACTCAGTTCGAAATCCCATTAGTTCACAAGTGTATTTTCGTCCCAGCCGGGGATATAAAGATTTAAGGAATTCGGTTGTTTCGAAATACATTCTACTTTCTAATTTGAAGTGAAAATTCTGTCCGAACTGCGATATGAGAACATTAACTCGTTTGTTTAGATCAGTGTTTCTCAACGAATCGTCGCCCCCTTCAATGTAGTATCGCCCTCTTCAATGTAGTATCGCCCCCTTCAATAAAACCGTTATGTAGTATCGCCCCCCTTCACTACAAAATTCCGATGCCGAGGGACAAGGCTAACGCCAAATTCGTACTGCATCGAATAAACTAGTGACTATATAATGTTATCTGTTTAATTATTGTACGATATAACGAATAAAATATCTAATTATTCTTAATATAATGTTTTACTATATCGCCCAGAAAATTGTTTTTTCACCCCCCAAAATATAAATTGTTACAAATCGCCCCCTGAACATGGAAAAACGCCCACATGGGGGCGATATCGCCCCGTTGAGAAACATTGGTTTAGATCGTATGCTGTAAGAGAACAACTATAATCTGGTCAATATGACTTTGCTTTTACAGTAATGCATTTTCGGGTATCACCTTACATAAGGACCGTTTTTTCCTCTTATCTCATAAAATACTACTGGGTTTCGGGATTGCAAGATTGAGCTACAAGCAGATTGAGATATTTGTAGGGCTCTAGGCTATTACATTGGGCGACTTACTACT